AAATAGGAAGTGGACTCAGATAAAATATTATGTGAACTCTCTCTAAATATCAACTGGTTAGTAGAAAAAAATAACAAACACTTACATAACGCCTCTTTGTGTGGTTCGTGGTCAACCATAGGTTTCGTTGACCCGGTGTGTCTTCTACACCAACACTTTTAATTTAAACTCCCCTGTACCCCATACCGGCTTAAGATTTCACTATCGTTTTCACTTAAATTTCGCCCCACGCGCTTACAAACAAAATATCTCCCCTATTTAGGCCACCTCCCTCAGCCTCAAAGGCTGAGGGATGAGACCCCCGATCTCGTCTCGACGAGATCCGGCGACCGACCTTTTCTGTCTCGCAAGAAACCTCCCAAGCCCTCGCATCAGCTACGCTATCCACATAAACCTCATATCAGCGTTTTTTCAACCTTCCCAAGTGTATCATCGGCAGTATGCGATACATTTATTTGTTTAGTCTAAGTGAATTTTAACATGACCACAACGACGCTCGAAGGTCCGACAGTCATAAAGTAATTCAGCGCTTTTTCACTGGAAAAATATCGACACCGAAGAAACGGGTGATCGACCTCGATCTCAATGAATAAAATAGTATTTTATGGTTCTATCGCAATGGCAGTTATTACAGTCCCATAAGGTCATTTTCAAACTTATATATTGTATAAGTTTGAAAATGTCCTTATAGGACAAAACTGCAGTAACGTTAATTACAAATAAAAGTAGTAAAAACATAGAAAGTTCAATTTCTCTTTTCTTCATTATGATTTCCTACCACGTAGTAACGGCTACATCCATCAATTAATTGAATAATTAATCATCACTTCATCTTCATCACAAACTAGTCTCTGTGATCAGCTGTAATGGCGTTATGGCAACAGAATTTAGAGTGGGGATGGAGTGAAAAAGTAATAGATAGAGAAAAAGTGAATAGACACTCGGTGAGGGAAATATAGGTATATCACACAGCTGCACGCATTAAACTTTATCGACGAATTTTTGTTATTTCGGCTTACGGAAATCGTCAGATTATATATTTTTTGTTATCCTTGAATTATTTCCTTGGAAGTAAAAAAAAATTGGCTATGCTCG